CAAGATTAAATATGTAAAATATTCTATAATATTCAAAGATATTTTTCATATGATAGAAATTTTTATCTGGATCTTCATCAACTAAAAGAATTCAAATAAGTTTAATCTGACTATTAATTTTCAATATTTTATCTTGCATTAATGAATTTAAGTCATTTATATAAGTGACAAAGCTTGTATTAACTTCATATTGCAGATGGATAAAAATTAATAGTTAGTTATTATAAAAGATATTATTTGTATTACTTGAATTTATTAGCAAATAAACTGATAGAATCAACTTTTACTATATGCTAATTGAAAAATCATGATCTGATAATATAACTGACTCTTGAGAACTTTGTATAGTTTGAAAGATTCTTCTAACTGGAGGAATATCAAGAGAAATTTTATCATCCTGTGAAATAATCACAAATTGAATAGAAAATAAAATTGCAAATTATTTAGCTCTCTTCACTAAAGCAAGATAATAGTATTTATCAGAGTATTTATTTTTTTTATTTCATGAAACAGAAGCAATTATGATATTGGCTGGATAATAGTAGACTTTTGCTAATATTATAATTAATTAATATAATAATAGGTAATTATTAAGCATAATACAAGAAAGATATTTATTATATTTTGAATCTAGAGCTTCATGAAGATAACTGATAGTTTTAACTTTTATAATTTCTTTTCTTTTTTTTTTATCTGCAATTTCAAACTTAATATATTTGTGAATATGTTTGTATAATTCTGGATATTGGATCAAAAGAGATAGATAATCAGATAAGTCATATTTTATAATTTCTTGATGCTCTTTCAAGATTTTTGCTTTTTTTTCTAACTTCTATTTTAGTATCTTGCATGATGTTTTAATTTTTTTATTTTTTTAGTTTTATTATGTAAAATTTTTTTAAGATCTGTAATATAAATCAAAAGATTATACCAAATCTTCAAGTTAATAGTAGAATTATAGATTTATTGAAACTTAACGAGCTTCTTATTACTTGTATTGATGATTTTTGTAGTTTTTCTCTATGCTGAAGTATTAGGTAAAATCATATTAGCTATAATAATCTCTTTGATAATCTTTGAAATAATTAGAATTAGGATAATTTAAATGATTCTAGAGTTTTGAGATAATAATATTGATTATAAAGAGTGTAAAAAATCTTGGATTGGATTTGAAATTGCCAGGTATTTTTCAATTTTCCTTTTGATTTCTTGTGAAAATTTATGTCAAATCTCTTTTCATATGTTAGTATATTTGATACATAAACTGAGCTTTTGATAGGCCAGATTCCCTATATTTATCATATAACTATATTTAAATATATTACAAAATCTTTAATATTAATTTGTAAGAGTTTTATAAATATAAAACTTATTGTATTTTGATATAATTAGAAAAGCTTGCATATTAGGAGTGTTTAGTGATAGATGAAATCAAAAATATGAGATAAAAGATGTGCTAGATCAGAAGATAAAAGATGTACTAGATCAAAAAATATATCAGATCAGAAGATAAAAAATATGCTAGATCAGAAGATAAAAGATACAAATTTGTGATTATTTTTATATAGATAGGATAATGTGATAAGTTAAGATATTTAGGCTAGTATATTTTTATAATAATTTCAATAATCATATACTCTCCTGAAATAAGTATTGGACCCTCTTTCAATTTAAATTGCTCAATAATCCATATAATAATTGATCTCGATTTTTTTATAATTTATAAAGTAGCTTTACAGGTAACTATTACAAACTTAATATTTCATTAGCCATCTATTTTTAGCAATATATGCTTCAACTCATCGTGGCATGCTTTTCACTAAACCTATATAAATATGTTTAGGAATTTAAGCCTACTCATTCTGTAAGACAATTTCTAACTCTCTAATATTTTTTGGATATTTTGAATGATTTCAAATATAATGTTCTAATTCTGATCACAAATACTTAATTGGATTCAAGTCAGATGATTAACTTGGTCAATCAGGTAATATTTTGATCTTTTTCATCATAATCCACTCACCAACATCTCTGACCATGTGAACAAATGCATTATCTTGTTGAAATATATAATTTTTTCATTAAATTTGATACTAATATAAGATAATAAATGTTTCTCAAGTATTTTTATATAGGATAATCTATTAATTTTGCCTTCTATTTTAATAAGTGGATCTAATCCCTTACCTGAAAAGCAATCTCATACCATTAATCCACTATCACTATATTTTATTGAAGGAATAAGATTTTTAATATTAAAATATGTTTCAGGAGTTCTCCAAATACATCCTGATCTATCTGTTTTAAATATAGTAAACTGACTTTTATCACTTCAAATAATATTTGCCTATTTTCTGACTGACTATTCTTTTCTCTCAAGGTATCAATTGAGTTGATTTTCTCTTTGTTATGATGAGAGAAGAGGTTTTGCTACTGGAATGCAAGAGTAAAATCCAATCTTATACAAATACTTTATAAGAGTGTGATCAGAAACTTGAATGTCAGTCTTTTCTCTAAATTTTTCATTAAGCAAGGGAACTGATGCTCTTTTGCATTTTTTTACAATTTGTTTTAACTCGTATTCAGCTTTGATATCTATAGATTAAGGATGACTATGATAATTTTAAATTGTCTACGTAATTGTTATTTTAGCAAAGCCTAGAGTCTTATTAATATCATTTCTCAAAAAACCAACCTTATGAAAACTAATAATCTAATAATATTCACTTTCAGTCAATTCTGAATTTTTAGATATTTCGTTATTGAAATCAAAATCAGGTATTTGTAATTTAGACAAGTTCACCTTTTATTTTGTAAATAATCAACGATTAATGTAAATAATGCGTAACTTGCTATATATATTTACAAGATACTAGTCTATAACATGTAAAAATTTGGAAACAAATTATTATGTACGCTGTCATACAAATTAAAAGTAAAGAGGATCCGATACTTATTTCAGGAGAGTATATTTATCATATATATTTATCATCATATCATGAATTATGATACAAGATAACATTATTATGGAATGTCTGATTGCATATTTCACCAGAGGGAGGGAGGGATGGTCCTATAGTAATTAATAATAACGTGATATATGTTCATCCTCTTATTCTAATTATTAATAAATTAATTTTAATAAATAATAAATAAGCTTTATAATATTTCAAAGTAATAATTTTTTTCTTTTAATATGTATTTTGAAACTATATCTAGTAAATATATAAGTTTGATTTATGTATTTATAATTATATATAAATATTTCAAGTTTTAATTATTATTTAACTGACTTGTTTTTTTGATCATGAACTTTCTGAACTAGCATATAAATATTATTTCATTATTTACATATGGCTTTTATTGACATAAAAAAGATAAAAAAATACATCTTAATGTTTTGTATCATGTATTTTTAGCATAATTTAAAAAAAGGAGAAATTTTTTAATAAATTAATTTAAATGATACAGTTATTATAATTAAAAAGTGAACTCAAAATTTAATTTCGCCTTTTTTGTACTTTTCCTTTTGAAGTTAGAGAAATTTTGGGCCCTTTTTGCCCAGACTTGCGATACATCTTAGTTAATGGTACATAAGCGTATGGTTCAGGTTTTCCTTTTCGCTTGACATCTCCCTCGGCATTTTTCGCTTTATATTCTTTCCCCACAGTGACCATTTTTTCTTTGTGTTTTCTTTTGAGATTGCTGTTGATTTTTGCATTTCTTTTCGCGATTAAATCAATCGGTTCCTGTTCATCCAAATCCACATCATCGTCATCACCACCATCACCATCACCATCATATTTCTTTTTATTATTGAATTTGATCTTGTTGCGTTGACCACGGGTAAATCCGTCTTTTGATTGTATTGATTCTAAATAATGGCTTTGTGCGTCTAACATATTAACATCGGATGCGTCATCAATTGATTTTCGAAGACCTTTATTATCATCGTCTTCAGAATCATCATTTATCATCATTCTGCCATCGCTTGATAATTTGAAAGAAAATCCATCAGATTTTGATAATCGCAATTTCATTTTTTCTGGATCCATCGCAAGTAGTTTTGAATTAAAATTTCTGTCCAAGAAATCAACTGGGATTTCGTCATCTTCTTTGATCCATAATTTCTTTTCGTTCTTTTTATTCGACTTTTTTCCTGCTACTTCATCGCCATCATCAGATGACTCTGATTCACTTTCACTCTCAAATAAGCTATCATTATCGGCATAGGCATTTTTCAATATAGAGTTCCTTAAAGACCGCGAAAGTGAATCAGAATCAAATTTATCTTTTACCAAATTCTTTTTATTCTGCATATTATTCTTTTTCTTTCGTTTTGTTAGTGCTTTTTGTTTACGAATATAGACCAACAATTTGCGATCAGGTTCCGGCGTATGTTGTTCGATAACTTCATATCCGAAACGTCTTAATAATCGTTCGAATATGTGTTTTACTTTAGCTTTAAAGTGACTTTTGTGTTCTCGTGACCACATTAGAATGCCTGGTATGATTTGTGAAAGGTGAGCACTAACCATCTCGACGTTTAACGAAATTACTACCACTTTTACGAAGCCTAATGCTGATTTGACTACTTCACGATCTCGATGTCGTACAAAACGATCCATCGTATCCAAAAGTTGATGTGTTAATGTGGTATCTAGGTGGTCTATTTGTTTATTGCAAGAATTAACATGTAGATATTAATCAGTATTTCCTGAAAACAAATTCGAGAATTATTACCCTTAAATTCAAAAATCAGCCTTGACAACGATGTGATAGTAGCACTAATCATATGAGGAGTTGTAGCAGCTAAACCAGCAACTACCATTCTGAAGACAAATTCATCAATAGAAGCATTCACTGAAAAGATCGTGCAACAAGATAATCGAAGATAGATATTATTAATAAATTCATCTTACATCGAAAGTTAAGACGAATTGATAAAATACCATTAGAAGAATCTTGATCTGCACCCGAGATTTTGTTCATTATTACGATTCCCCCATCTTTCATCTTATTTCCCATAACTATTAATAACTCGTACGCAAGTTGTCGCGCTTTAGCATTTACTTCCTTGGTGCTTAAAATCGCCTCCGATAATATATCAGGAATTATGTGAAGATCGGAGGAAGGTAAATGTTTGGTGACATTGATTAATGTGATTAAACGGTCCTATTTTTAGGCAATTAGTTAAGATATTTTTAATTTATCATGGATATTTTAGTAAAAATATAGGCCAGCATTTACGCAAATTGCGTACCTTACCTTCTTTGCCGCGGATACAGTAACAATGGCTGCCTGTGATAATTTTTTTTGCAAATCATCAAGATTTTGCAATAAGAAAGCTTTGGAATTTTGGTTGCTGAAAAATTTATTTAGTGTTTTGTACGCTTTTTTTTGAAATAAAAGGTTCTCTTCACATAGTAAAGAAGTGGCAGTCAAGTATGTTTGATTTAAGCTATTATCATTTAAATTTGAGAGATTCCCGAGTACATTGTCTAATTCCTCGAGAGAATGATTGGAAGATGCCGTATCTATATCCATTGTTCTCTGTGCGAAGTTTACGATAAACAAGCCAAAAAACTTTTTTTGCACATCCGTTGATCAACCCAGAAAAACAAATCCGGCGCAAAGAAATAAAAAATTTCCTGATCGGAATGCTCGGGTCATGTGTTTCCAATCTGTTCCGAAATCCCCTAAAATTGAAAAAATAACGCTTGTATCTCGAAATACTATAATAAAATGGTGATTACTAAATGCGTGGTTATAACCAAAAATCTGAATAAAAAGTGAATAAAAAATATTATTTATTATAAAATATTTTTTTTAAGATTTTTATCTTTCATTTTTTGCCAAATATTTAAAAAGATTAATTAAAATTTATTAATATATATAAACTTTGTTTAAAAACAGATTATTATCAATAAATCAAATTAAAATAAAAATTTGTAAGTAATATAAAGAAGAAAATTATCGATAAGAGTTTGCTTGACTTTTAATAACTTTGATCTCTTTTTAGTATTTTATTTATATGGTCAAATCTATCTAAAATATTAAATCAAAATGGATTATCTAATAATATTTAATAAAAAAACTATGTAAAAATATTATTACTATTGATTCATTTAAATAATATTTTTCTATTAATCTGATTAATTTAATTATTATTTGGAGTTAGTTTTCTTACTTGTAATATTGTTTTTTAAAATTTTTTAAAAATTTTTAGATATATTTATCTATATATTTTTATTTATTAATAATATTATTTATAAAAAATAAAATAATTATTATTATTAAATTAAACTATATATATATATATATATATATATATTACTATTTAATAACTAATATAAAATATATTTCTTTTAGTTATTAAATTGCAAATTAATTATAATTTTATTTGTATTTTATAAATTTAAATTTTTAAAAAATTATATATTAATAATATCAACTTTTTATTAAAGTTTTTAACTTTAAAATTCTAATTTTTTTTATATTATTTTTTATTTATTAAATTATTAAAAGTTAAAAAGTAAAATACTATTTTATATATAAATATAATAAATATTACTTATTTTTTTAATAAATTATTTTTTTTAATAACTTTTAATTATTTACTTTTTATAAACTTAATTATTTTAAAATTATTAAATTTTTATCATAATTATAATTTTTTTAATTTGATAATTTTTATCAAATTTAAATAATTTTTATTAAACAAATAATAATTTTTTTATAGAAATAATAATATAATATTTAATTTTTATAATATATTATTTTTTAGATATTTAATTAATTATTTTAATAAAATAAAAAAATTTTATAAGATAATTAAACTAAATTTAATATAATTATTAAAGATTTTATCTAAAAATAAATAATTTTATATTTAAAATATAATAAATTAAAATAGTATTTAATTTTAATATAAAATTAAATAAATAGTTTAATAATTTAAAACTTTTTAATTAAGTATAATAATAAAAATAATTATTAAAAAAATATTAATTATAATTTATTTTATTTTATAAAATATTTATAAATAAAAAATTAAAAAAATCTATAAAAAGAATAATTTATTAATAATTAATAATTAATTAAATATAAAATTAATTTTTAAATTAATTCAAAATATTATTTAAATATTTATATTATTATTTATTAAATATAATATATAAATATATAAAACTAATAATTTTTTTAATATATAATTTAAAAATATTTACAATAAAAAAATTTTATATTTTTATATTATAATTATAAATTAAATAATAAAATTTTTTATAATTATATTTTTAAAATTATATTAAAAATATTATAAATTTTATATAATTATTTTTTAAATAATAATAAATTATTTTAAAATATATTAAAATATTAAAATTTAAAAATTATAATAAACTTATAATTATAAAAATAAAAAATTAATTTTATTAATAAAATATAGTAAATTTATAATTTTATTAAGAAATAATTTTTATTTTTATATTAAAATAAAATTTATAAATTATAATATAATTAAGATTAATTTTTAAACTAGTTTAAATATATTATTCAAATATTTATATTATTATTATTTTAAGTTTATATGTATATAAATATTTTAAAATGGTAATAGTAACTGTATT